TCTTTATAGATTCTTTTACTCTACTTCGCTATTCACTTCAATCATTAGTCGAATTCTCTTTGATTCATTATCAATATTTATAAGGTATTCATGAGACAATGAAATTCAATGAATTCCATTATTTCATTTCAACAAATGAATAGATCAGCGCGCGCGAGAGCGCGCGCATGGATCTTGTAAATAAAAAAAATCAAGTGGTTTAAGGATGTTCTACACCCTTTCTGCCAAAATTCACGTTTTTTAAATTTTTCTGGCAAACTTATGATGGAATTGACGTGAAAAAATATGTCGTTTTTGCGTTTTGTCATTATTTAATGACTGACGAAATTTTAAGGTGGTGCGAACATTTTCCTGCGTTTTCTCTAAACTTTTAAAAAGAATCACAAAACTGTAGAAAAAACGCATGAAAATTATCGCACCACTACGCAACTTCGTGAGCCATTAAAGAATGACAAACCACAAAATCGTTATATTTTTTCACGTCACTCCCATCGATAATTTGCCAGAAAAATGAAAACAACGTCAATTTTGGCTAAAAGGGTGTCGAACATCCTTAATCCTACGAATAAAAACCAATTCATTAACAGAATAATCAACTTACATTCGCAATCTCGCAACTGCTCCTTCTCCCTCTCCTCCCTGCCCCTCACCGCCACCTCCTTGATATCCTTATAGGTCCTCATGAGGTTCTTCAGAATGAAATGCGTTCCCCGAAAGTTCTCAGACTTCTTGGACGTGCTGGCCTCATCCCTAGTGAGATTCAACGGCCGATTGTTGAATTCTCTGGCCTGAGGAACGCTGAAAGCCGAGCAGTGTTTGCTCTTGAAAGGCGCCTGCCTCTCGCTAAGTTTTCTGTCCCAAATGTGTCCGGAGACACGCAAGTCGATGAAAAAATGGAGAGGATCTAGTCCCGGATAGGGTTGAGCCAGGGGATACGGGGGGTACCACAGAGGACTTGGCAGAAACTCCGGGTTTGGAACGGCCGGAGCGAGAAAATTCTTCTGCGCTGCTGGGAGTTCCTCGGGCCGTGTTCCAAGGCCAGGAACAAAGTTCCTCGCCGAGAAGTCGATTTTGCTCTTCTGCTCCTGCGGAACGAACAGCTCCTGATTCATCTTCTGACGGTCGGCCTCGTACTTCCTATCGGTCTGATGATTGATCTGCTCTTCGGGCTTTATCTTCTGATTGGAAGGGAACATCGACTCCTGCTGGGCAATTCGATCCGCCCCGAAGAGCCTCGACGAGTCGTCGTAAAAATTCCCGGCTTGCTTGACGAAATCCGAGTGGTTCTCGTCGATAGGTTTGAGGGCATCGGCGTTGAAATTGGATTTCTCATCGAAAGTCTGGGGCTTCAGGTCGGACTCGAAATTTTCGGGCTTGAATCGGCTCTCGGGCAGGTCCTGGTGGAAGTACTTGTCGGTGTGGGGCTCGTGATGCTGCTGCTGCTGGTGTTGCTGGGGGTTTTTGTCCTTCGTCGTGAGCTCTAGTGGTCTGTCTCGGGCGTCGCGCCACGATCTCTTCCGTCGGCGATTGACTCCAGGGGTCGTCGCGGCCGAGGAGGAAGTCGCCGGCTCGGACTTTGCTTGGACGAATGATCTGAGCATTTCGCTGAAGAAGAAACTGTGGGGCGTCAGGGGGACGTTGTAGAGGTACGGCGGTGTTGCTGCGAGCAAACGAGACACCAAATCACCTCCGGAGAGCGTTGATGGGGTCTTCAAGCTTGAGGGATCGCCCGTTGTTGTCGTCATTTTTTTAATAATCTGGAAGAATTTTATTGAATTTGGTTGTCATTGTCAAGTTGTTTGGGACGTGGGGGCTTCCCCACACGGAGAGGAATATTCAGTAGAAGTTATCCACATACAATTACAGCTGTATCGAAGATACAGCCGCCTGCAATTTTCCATTGAATTTTTCTCTCCGTGCAGAAGCTGAACCGTGCGGTCATCCACAAGAACTCTTACTCACTCTTTCATTTACAATTTTGAGTCGTCAAACAAAGATGGTAGTGCATAAATTAAAAGAAACGACTGCATTAAGGATGTTCGACACCCTTTTAGCCAAAATTGACGTTGTTTTCATTTTTTTGGCAAATTATCGATGGGAGTGACGTGAAAAAATATAACGATTTTGTGGTTTGTCATTCTTTAATGGCTCACGAAGTTGCGTAGTGGTGCGATAATTTTCATGCGTTTTTTCTACAGTTTTGTGATTCTTTTTAAAAGTTTAGAGAAAACGCAGGAAAATGTTCGCACCACCTTAAAATTTCGTCAGTCATTAAATAATGACAAAACGCAAAAACGTTATATTTTTTCACGTCAATTCCATCATAAGTTTGCCAGAAAAATTGAAAAAACGTGCATTTTGGCAGAAAGGGTGTAGAACATCCTTAAGTTGACAATCGAGTTTTTGGAAACCTCCGTCGAAGATGACTTTAATTAATTTGCATTATCTTTCATTTTCAACGCACCCGATTTATTCACCAATTAACAAGTCAATAAAACCCGAAAGGCAATTTATTTTTCCTCGTCGTCATGCAGTCAAACACGAAAAACTCTTCTTGTATTCATGTCTGTCACGAACAATAATCCCCAGCGCAAGTGCATAATTATAATTCTCCACCGTCGAGAGCCCCCGAATCCCCATTGTCCCCCGAATTAATTGAATTGAATGGGAGACCGCGGTAGAGCCTCAGAATCCATGTCTAAGAGGGTGCCTCCCAAGAAAACCCTTTCACCATCAGGGTCATTCATTAAGCGCTTCCGTCAAGTGCACCTTACTGCCCATTACCCAGTCAATAAAATTCCTCATCATTCACCGCGAGACTAGTCCACCTGAACCCGACAGATCGTCATGCTCTTGACGAAGCCCCATTTTCCCGACAAGACTAAATAAAAGAGGGAAAAAAACTTGGTGGAGAAGAATGAGTCGCGGCGAAATACTGTGATAAATCCATATTGGTATCTACCCTCGTTTCAAGGGGGTGGGAGAGCTGGGGGAGGGGGGGGGGGGGG